TATGAAAGAAAAAATTCTTCTCACTTCTAAAAATTTACGGAAAATATTCCGTAATGTCCTTAACCAAAATTCGCCAAGTACCTGAAAATAAATAAGTAAGCGCAACAAAAAAATAATCCTCATCAAGGGCCCAATCAAGTAAGCTAAAAATCTAGCTAAAGCACGTACCTAAGAAATGCAGGAGTCCGGCTATAGATTGATCCTCCCTCTAACTTGTTTATTGACTTCCAGGAGAAAAAGTTGTGCATAAAAGTTATAGGGTTTAATATGAGGATTTTCATGTAATATTTTTTTTTGTATAGTGAAAAGTGATATCCAATAAAGTTGTATTCTTTAAATGGAACAGTTTTTCAGTGAAAATTACCCTTTTTTCTGATTCCAAATGAGTGTGGTTTGTTTAACTTATTTTTATTACTATACGCAAAAACTTGAAGTTTGTGTGTCATTTAAGCATATGTATTCCGGCCCTTTACCAAATTGCATAGGCGGCTAGATACAAACTGGTTCAAACTCGGATACACAGCAGTAAATGACACACAACCTTTGAGTTCTTGGAGACACTAATGACAATAAGTAATGATAATATATACTTTGAATCAGGGAAAAAGGCATTATCTTTTTTCCTGAAAATATATAGGGTGTTCTATTTAAAATACAAATTCATTCGATATCACTTGTCTTAGTATACTGAAAAAATATTACATAAATAAATTCATATTAGACCCTATAACTTTCATATACAACTTTTTCTTCCAGAAGGTTATATATATATATATACATATATATAATAAGTACCACGACAAACTTAAGGAGAAGGTCGGTTTTTGACTGACCTCCCAAATAACAAAAACTTACCTACATAAAGGTGTCACCGTTTTTAAGATATTGAATTTTTTCTTAAATTTAAAAAAAACCGAACCTTTTAATCTATGGTCTTTAGCTGCACGTACAAATAAGGTTATACTTTGTTCATTTTTTCTATAAAATACTTCTAGATAGTTGCTTTATCATATACAAATGCAAAGTAGTTAAGAGGTATTAAGGAACCATGATAAAATAAGGGATTTGGGATTTATAATCTGCTGATAATGTTTCTTCAACTGTCATAAAATCATATCAGAAGCAGGTAATAATAATGTAGCATTGTACTATTTAGCATGTCACTGATCGGTAACCAGTGCAACTTGAATTTAAATCCAATAATTACATTGTAGTGTGTGTCAGTCACTTACAAAAGCAGCTACTTTTTTTATTCCAGTTATAACAGTACGTGTGGTGTCTTTCTGTAATCTGTATTCAATGAGCAATCTTTTTATTCAATATAATGCAATTATAGCCCAGTAAATTTTTGTTTCATCACAGATGGTCAAAGTTGAGGAAAAAATATCAAAAGGTTATAAATCTCAAAATCGTCCTTATTTGAATGATCAAACCATGAGGTTCCTTAATACCTTTTAACTACACTGAATTTGTATAAGATAAAGCATCTATCTAGAAGTATTTTATAGAGAAAATGAACAAAGTATTACCTTATTGGTACATGCAGCTAAAGTCGACAAATGGAAAGGTTTTTGTTATTTGAGAGGTCAGTCCAAAGCCTACCTTCTCCTTAAGTTTTGTCGGGGTACTTATAGCTGTATAGCTAACGTGGTGGAGGTGAGAAGCAAATAAGGAGTTTCACCTCATTTTATCAAAAGGAACGAAAGAACATGTGAGTCATCTTGGACTTAAGTGAGAGTTTTCTCGAAGCAGGTACACGCAGAAATGAAATTAAAACGATTTATTTCTATGTACGCACGTAAAACAATTTTTACTTGACGATGACACAAAATCTCTAGTGTGAGGAGATTTGGTAACATTAGGAGATCGCTTGTTTACTCCAGGTGCCTAGATAATACAAGTAACATCCATTGAATTGGATTTTTCGATTTCACGGATGAACAATTAGACAACCCGTTAAATATTTTTATTGTTGTAATGATGCGAAAACACGTCCCAGTATTGAAAGTGGAATTTCAAGCTTTAAATGTGTCCAATTGTTTTCTATAACACTGAATTCATATGGATTTATCAACATTTTTAACAGTCTGTATGAATGTGTGTTCACGGTCATTGATACGTTTGATTTTTTTTTTATAGGACTTCCATCGTTCAACCTTAAGTTAGTAATGTGGACTGTGCATACTAATGACAGAACAGACGTATTTGTGTGGTGTTGATTTTGTTTTCATTAAAAACACTAAAAGCTTTTAGCTACGTGTGACCTAGTTACAAATATATCCCTGTTAGTTTGCAGAAACTCTGCTATTAGCGGAAAAGCGAACTAGTAAAGCTATAGTAGGATAAGCTAGGGAAAACTGGGCTATACGTACTGGGTCAGTGACTTGTTACCTTCTACAGGGTGATTGATAGGCAATGAAAATAATACTATAGCAGGAGGTAAGTACATAAACGAACATAAAACGTGCCTATCGAGACATGCCCTAAGATGTACCGTTACCAAGATACAATGTATTGTAAACTTCTTTTCGCCACTGACGAGCCTATCTAAGTCCAAGTTAAATATTCGTCGCATAAGAGATACGACATATGAATTTTACTTCAAATATTCAAACAAATTTTACTCGAAAAGGAAGTGTCTGACAGAAATTTCTCAACGCGGAGAATCTACATAAAATCAAATGCCTCATTCAAAAATGCAATAGTTGTTACAAAGAAGGGGACTAAACAACTCAATTTCTACGCTTCTAGTGTAGGATAACCATTCTTTGTGTATTGGCTATGTTGTTATTAGTTGATTTACAAAATTTCCAATCAATATCTCGATCCACTCATAAAAATGATGATTCAAATGTTAAAATCAAACTGATGTGTTACTTTTGGAGCTACTTTCTGCCATAGAGTATCACCATCGTTTTTTTGAATCACCCTGTATAGACAGTGTAGTTCGCTACTTTCGATGCAGTGACAGGGTGGAGAAATGACAGCCAGTGGCAGAATATTAATGTCAGAATGCATCGTAAATCTGCTGGAATATCATACAAAGTATTACTAAATACGCCATGAAGATTGAGATGATGAAAAGACTAGAACTGAGACTTGGAGTTCAGTCGGTGGGCTTTAGTCACAAAAATTATAGCCTTCTGGTTCCAGTTCCCACAACTTTGTAACGTCCTAAAGTGATCATAAATCTCTTAAAACTTTGGGGTTTCATGACCTAAGCAGTTCTAATGTAAGACTGACCTGTCTTGCAGACAGTTTCTCCCCGCACGGGTATTACGAATCTTGAGAGGTGACATTATGCCGATTTTTTTTGACATTGTACTAGTTTTTGTGGCATTATGTAGGTTTCTCTACAAAATGTTAACTTAGCACTTAGCTGTACGTGTTGCCTTAACGTCATGAGGCTTCACTTTTATCAATGTTTGGCTCTGATGTGATGTAAAATCTGCTTCAGAGATGGCATTACTGGAGGTCTAAGCTGTAAGTTGTATGTGTTGATGGTTCCATTGGATTTTTGTCTCAAATACATTTACTTGAGATTCAAAGCAAGAAATTAGTTGCGCATCCACTTTTTCTTATCCATTCTGGAAATTACGTATCTATGCAAATTTTATGAATTTTAGAAATCAGAGAGATAAGAGATAATTATACTTACTGTACACTGTCGAATTATAAGTCATATACATGCTAACAATGCGGGCGCGGTGGTGATTTTCCGTAATTCTCTAACAGTCTTTCGTAATTTATAACTTTGAACAGAACCTATCCTCAGAAAGGACAACATATAAATAACCCGTCGGGCACAGCTACTAGATATACTTCATTGGCAGCATATTCAGTAATGATTTTCTTACACAGCAAATATCACTGATTTTATACACATGCAGACCAATACACATAATCATCCAGATGCGATCTTGTTATTCAAGCAACTTTCTTCTCAGATAAAAGCTACAGACCACTCGGCTTCCCAAAATGCGTGTAGTTTAGTTGAGTAATTCCTCCATAGATGGACGCTCACAACGATCCTAGTGAGCAAACGAGGACTGGCTATTAGCATCCTAAAAAGCCTTTTTTTGGACGTTTTGTAGGTTTTTTACATAATACCCGTGCCGTTTTGCAAACTTTGTGCGAACTTGCTACAATCTCTGCACATGTTGAAAAATTAGTGTATTCCCTCAATTCGTGATTACTAATCTCGTTTTTATGCTTCAGTGCCTTCAGCGTTGTATTATTCTATGCAATTAATATGGTGCTTCTATTGCATGTTGTACAGTAGTGTCATACTAATTAATTAATTGATATTTATTGGTAGATATTTTCATTTTCCAAGTTGTAACTAGAATACCTATAAAAAATCATAGATACTTATATTTTCACCATGCCAATATCGATAATTTTCAATTCCGTTTATAGTCTCATTATGTGCCAACCTTTTTTTTTGAGGTTTTGGTTGCCGAATGGCCCTTTAGTCCGTCACGGGTATTACGAATATTAAAAAGTGACATTTTATCTCTTTTTACATGTTATAGATTCTTTGTGACGTAACGTAGGTTTTTCTACAAGATGTCAATTTAGCACCAGATGTTGTACACTTGTCGTGAACTCGTTTTGTAGCTGTACGGAGGTATTGCCTGAATGTCATGATGCTTCAGCTATCCTTGTTTGGCTCTGATGTGATACTACTATTCGTCATTTGTTTGTCTGGGTGGTCCGTAGGACCGTTGCCCATTAGTCACTGTCTAATGTACGCTGGTCGAATCTGTCAGTACTGGTTGCCCAGAATCCAGACAATGTCAAGGAAAAAGAGAAAGGAAAAGAGAAGAAAAATAGAGAAGAGCAAAGAAAAACAGAAGTGTTTAGTTTGAGAGGAAACACCTAAGCTTTTTGACTTAGTACACGGATTAATTTTGAGATGAACTAAACAAATTTTGATTCGGTTTTGTTAGAGTGTAATTTTAAGTTTACTAAAGGTTCGCGCTAATTTTTGATTACAGTGCGAGCCGTGGCCTTGAATGTTTACGAACTTGCTCCACTGTGTAGTCCATTGATTCGCGCAACAGAGGGTTGCTGGGCAACTCCGCTTGGGCTCTGATGTGATGTAACATCTGCTTCGGAGATGGCATTATTGGTGGTCTAATCTGTAAGTTGTATACTATAGCTGGAAGGAAACGGCAGTGCATAGGTACATAGTGAGGATTTGTGTGCGAATAATCTGTGTTGATGATAATTTCATTGGTTTCTTGTCTCAAATACACTTACTCGAGATGTATTCAAAGGTAGTAATTAGTTGCGCATCCACTTTTTCTTATTCATTCTGGAAATTACATATGAAAATTGGCTGAATTTCGAAAAAGAGAGAGATAAGAAAAGAAAATCCCTAGTTGGTAAAGTAATTAACTTTATGTGAAATCTGATATTTTACTCTTACATACTGCCACATATTGCAATTATATTCACAGTAAACTGTCGAATTACAAGTCGTATACATACTAACCGTAATTACACACCATGCGGGCGCGGTGGTGATTTCCCGTAATTCTCTGCACTAGACAAAAAAAACACTGAAAGAATCATAATTTGTAACTTTGAACATAACCTGTCTTTAGAAAATATGGGTCTAAATGACTGTTAGCCCTCTTTCTAGTCCTCAAGTGGAGCTACGTTATTCCAAAACGACAAAAATTACTCCAAGTCCGCTGTTACGTGAAGAAGCAACTACAAGTAGGGCTAAGCCGCAGCTCTCACCGGATATAAAATTACGTAATAGTACTGCTGACTGATTTGATATCTGAAAAAAGACTATGAGTCTTTGTAGAGAATCAGGGATGGTGTCATAGACTCAGAATATGATGTTATTACATCTATATGCTACTCGTATGACTTGCTACTTTGTAACTGCATCTCTGTAACGGCTTCGCCATTTTGAAGAAAGTGCCAAACAGAATTTTTTATTGATTTTGAAAAAAATTATGAAAAACAAAGGAAAATATGTTTTAAAAGCATACAAATTTTACTTTGTAATGTTGACCATAATTTAGTTTACACATGCATAACTGGTATTTGAAAACTATTTTGAATGCTAACTTTCAAAAACCTTACAACTGACAAAATTGATTTCAAAACCCTAGTGTACGTTATTAATCGTCAATTAAGGTTTTATTCATAAGCAAGGATAGTATAATTAATATAGATATAGTTTTTTTCCTCTAAACAAACAGATTCTATTGCGGTGGCTGAAATTTGGGTGCGATCATCTACTCTTTACCTACGATAATACAAGTAGACCAGAAACTATCTTTTACATCTGGTCGGAAAAATATTCTGATTCCGTTTTTAACATAACTTAATTGATTGAAAAGACAATGACGCAATTTTAGGTAGGACAACATGCAGATTTTTTATAAGAGGCGCTTTTTCAACAAGATTACGCGAAAAAACAGAATCGAAATATTTCTGAGCAGATACGAAGATATTTCCTGTACTATGATCCAGACAAACAAAATCCCAATATCACCCTTTAGTCGCACGGTACCCACGTGGCGGTTCAAGTATACAAAAACTAGTATCTGTTCGACGCAAGTAACTGATAAAAGGAACTTCTTAGTTCGCAGCTCTCCTTCGCTCAACCGATATACCAACTAGTTTTGCTTCTTTGAGTTCTTTTAAATTCCTATTCAGACCTGTGAGGTTTTTGATTCTCTTTATAACTTATTTGAGCACTTTATAATATAGAGAACTGACTACCCAAGTCACATTAGAACGACAATACGTTTAAATTATAAAGTATCAGCAATTTAAATCGGGACTATGAATAATTCAAATTTATGCTGGTGTCTAGAAGCACTGTTTTGTAAGTCGGTTCATTGCATTCTGACTCGTATTCTGAAAAATATAAGCCTTGCCTAAGATTACTACAGAAGAGACACAATAACATGTTAGAAATAGTGCGATCCATGAAACGTAATAATTTGCCAACCACTCAATTTCGACAAAATGTGTTGATCACGATTTCGACTCAACATTATTTCTTGTACAACTGTCCAATACGCTGATGTGTGCTTATTAGGTCCGGTTTCTCAATTGCAGGCTAGCTGTAGTTTATCGCTAACCGGAAGTTAACTGTCAAAATGTTTTTCAATATCACGTTTGCATTGAACGGTATGGACTGGCTACGACGTTGGCACAGATTTTAGCATTGGTCTAACCTTTTTGGCTTTACAGTGACAATTTGAAACGGATGACACGAATCATAAACGCCGAGCAGCGCAGATGCAGAAGCAGCGTTGTCACATGAACAACACACCGGTTGTTCAACCAGAACTTGAAAAACGAATTTACGGGCATCTGCTAGTTAAATTACAAGTTATAGTTGCTCAACATGAGAGTTACCCTGATATTAATAGATCAGGCCTTAGGGAATTGAGAGAATGGAAATATACTGTTTTAAAAGTTATTCAAACATCACCGAATACTCTTTATTACTATAAGCGACAGTACCTTTAAAATTTTACCTTCAGTGCCTGACACTAGTGGGTAATCTATGATATTTTTTGTTGGAAGGGAAGTTCCTAATGGTTCGTTTCCCTGAAAGGCAAATTGTGCATCCCTTTTACTCCCCACGTCATACTGGCCAGGAAGTATTGTAATGGCGACAAATTTCGAAAATGAGGTACCTATTAATTGTATAATATGACATGTCATCACTAAAAACCATGTCATCCATTTCCACCGGTCTGTGTGACTGTCGGTCTGCCCGCTAATCCTTGGACTGCCTATAACTTTGAAAGTACTGCTGGGATTTGGATTTTCACACATCCAAGGACGAAAAATCTTTGTAGTTTTTGTAAATCGGTCGAGTGGCGGCGGAGAAAAAGGCCAAAAACGAAAACTGTCAAAATTGCTCAAACTTCATTCTTTGACCTTTCAGAGGATCCTTATCATTTTCACAAAAATGTTTAGGGGTAAAAAATTTGAAGGTGGGGGTTGTATGAGGTGGGGAAGCTATATCTATTTTTTTTTGATTTTAGTATTATATATACGCTGCCAACCTTGGTAATTCTACGCACCTATTAGACGTATTTCACACATCATAGATTGCTTTAAAAAATAGAAAAATACTTTCAGACTCCCGAACCTATCGCCGCGTTTGTTTCTGCTCCCGACGTGACGAGCTGTCCAAGTTGGGCATTTTTGTACATGAATCGCCTATAGGTACACAAGTGATCACCTATTATGGTATATTATATTAATATTTTTTTGGAAGGAACTATCTGAGTGTGAAGTAAAATTTTGATTTGAAATGGGATAATCCTTAATTTATTACTCATTCAGATAGATCATTGCAAGAGAAAGAGTACACTACATAGCGTTTTGGTGTTTGGTTGTTGAGATATATATAACTTTGACAGCATGTTAGTCTGCCATTTTGACGGGTAGTGATTTTATATTCTAGGGTTATAAAGTGCTAGTAAGGAGTTCCAAAATGAAACACGTCAGCTATTCCACTAAACAAAATCCTAAGATGGCGCCCGACCGCCATCTTGAAATTTCAACTATTTTTATTTTCCTTTAACATATAGTATTATCCTGCAGTGCAAATTTTTCTCCTGACCATATTCATAAACTAAGAACTTTTTGACAAGCACTGTATCTATATTTTCATCGACCGTATTTCACATAAAATTGATTGAAGTTTTATTGGACAAAAGGTTTTAGTTTTAGTCCCACACACCGGATTCCTTTCAGCTGCCTAACTATACGCTATTCTTTGGAAACCTTTTTAAAAAAGGATATTGCATAAGCTAATAAAAAGGAAGTGTAGTGCGTGAAAAAGCCATGGAACAGAGAAAGATGTGTACATCTGCGATTTTTGTCGTTGAGGAACTAAAAACAATGTATCTGTTTTAAATACGTTCTGAATCCTTGCTTAAGATTACAATCCTGATTATTGATTAACAATTTTTATTAATATGTATGTAAGGTTTATTGAAAATTACTTTTTTTAATAAAACTGTTTAACTAGAATTCATGACCGTATATAGTAAATGCTGCTAGTTATTTTTCATATTTTTAAAACAGTAACAGAAAGTGTGGGTCCGCTTTTGGTATCACCCTCCTACATCCATAATATCTTAATATAATCACTAAGTAATGGTACCAGCCATCGGCAGTTGTTCTCTATTCGATGTAGAGTCTAACTTATATCAAATTTATCCATGTATTTGATTTAGACAATTTTATGAATGTTGAGATCGATAACACAGCATATCCAAAGATAAATATTCTGCTAGGTGCTTTAGATTGACTCAAAAGGTACATTTATCGGCTTTAGCTGTGTAAATCCCTTATCTTTATACTAATTACATATTAATTCACACATTCCATTTCTTGTGGGACGTTACAGGAATTATAATTACATTTGATGCAACTCATACAATATTAAACAACTGACACTTGTCACGTAAAGTATAAAAACAATCTAATTGTCTTTTTTATGGGTAGTTATTGAATTATCATTCGAATTTATTAAAACACTGACCTTTAGCCTTTTTCTGGGCAAGAACCAGGAGGTAAAAGTAGAGAGACTGACCTCGCCGTATGCATAGAGGATATATGTTTTTATTAATATTTGGTGCATGTTATTTGTTTAAAACGTATTTACGCTTTTTACGGTTGCACTTGATTATAAAATACTTCTGAAGTCTGCAATAATAATATTTTATTTTTCCTCTACGTACGTTTGCCTTGACCAATATCTTGGGCGCACTGTTCCCGGAATCCTCAAATAAGTTATTAAAGATATTCGTAACTTGAAGATCATAAGCAACTGGAGTTTGACTAATACAGATTAAATTAAATGAAGTATCAAAATGTGATCCTTGGACAGCATCATAAATGTTTTGATCTAAACCGTGTATTAAACATGTTTCACTTTTTTCAGTGAATAAGTGAAAAGGACTGTCCCTTAAAGTAACAACATAAAAAAGCTGTCCCAAGTCTAGCTATGCGTTTAGATAATTTCCTGAGACTCATCTGAGTATATATTCTACTTTCATCATGGAGGTTTAACTTTTGTCACATGCGACGAAAAATAGCCCTTGCATAATAAGATAAAATTATATTACGTGATTCCTTCTGATT